GAGGTGTTGTGGGTGATCGAGAGACAGACAGACAGACAGACAGACAGAAGTACAGAGTCAAAGAAGAAAAGCAGGGAGGGCAGGATGAGAACCGGGAAGACACAGAGAGCAACCAGACATACAGACAGAGTCAGAACAAGAGGGGACTCAGACACACACATATACACAGAGGCAAAAGAAGAGAGGGAAAGAGACAAATGAGAGAAGGAGATATATATGGTGGTGGGACAAGAAAAAGAGGAGAGAGGCACGGAAGAGAGAAGCTGGAGGGAGGGAAAAGAAATCTGAAGAAGAATGTGAGGGCAGAAAGAGGAAAGGGAATGGAGTAGGGCGAGGGTTGAGAAGTCAGAGGGGAGGAGAAAAGGCTGGGAGAGTGGAGGAGGCACCGGAAGCCGGGTGGCACTTCCTTTTTGTGTTTAATTTTTATAAACCACACTGTTGTTCTGAGGAAGTTGATATAATCCACACTCTGAAGTAGCCAGGCCTTGGTTAGTGTTTGTTTCTCCGGGGAGTTGTGAATTATGTAGAAATTGGACACCCGCTTGGAACCCAGCTGCAGTGAAGATGGCACGAATGTAAGAAATTGCAATTCTTGGTAAATACACAGATGCACAAGTTCCTCTGCCGTCTCTGTTTTCCTCCGGGCAAACTCAGGACTGGAGAATTCTGGGGAGGGTTTTTCATTCACCGTATTTGTCAGTGATTCTCTAACCCATGTTTATGGAAGTATCTCCTCGGGTAGCTTCCGAGAAAAACAAATCCCTGGGCCCACTCCCCTGGAAGGCTGGCCCAATAGGGACAGGAATGGGCTACTTTCTGAACGTCCCAGTAGATTCTAAAGCAGGTCATCCCTGAACCACACTTTGATAAGCATGGAATAGACTGCATACCACCGTTCTCTAATTTGTTCCCGTATTTCCTCCTAAGAGGTGTAGTTTAACACCTCCTCTGGTACCCCAGCTGTCCCAGAAAAGCTTGTTTCTTGTGATTTCTCTTGATAAAAGGACAAGCCCAAGGATTGCTCAGCCAGGGTTACCGTTCCACGGACTTCATTAATCACAGTAGCTTCAGGGGACAGGAGACAGGTCTTCTGGTTGACCTTGTTAGGGATGTCCACAGTTAACAGATATTGAGCACTCAGCAGGGCACTGTCCTGGGCATTCTTTATGCCTGGGCCTGTGTCATACACACATGCACACACACATACACGCACCGCACATGCATACACACATGCGCACGCATGCATGAACAAAACAAAGCAAACTGTGCCATAGGCACTGTTATTATCATCTGCATTTTATACTTTAGGAAACTGAGACAGAGAAATGATGATACTTGTCACGGAGAAATCAGTTGTCCATGGCCCAGCAGCTGGAAAGCAGCAGTGCTGAAATTCAGAGCCAGGTTTGGTGGACTCCAGGGTCGCAGGTCCTAATTGCATAGCATGCTGGCTCCTAATCCTAACAAACCTTTCTAGACCGATGGAGTCAAAGATCCATGGAGATCTTTCCCAAGCACTCTCTCGCCCCCACTTTATCAACTGAGGAAAATGAGAAGTGGCTGAAGGAACCAAGAAGAAGTACTTGCCAGAGATCCTGAAACCAGTAGGAGCCAGAACTGGGACCAGTGAGCTGCTACCCTGAGTCTTGGTCTAGCCTTCTCGCCATCGTACTAGTGGTTATGACACCTGGCTGATCATCAAGTTACATGAGTGTCTTAGTCAAAACACGAGTTCCTGGACCCCACAAGAGGCTTTCTGAATCTTGGGGCAAAGAGCCCAGACATTTGTATTTTTAGTTCCTGCCCCAAGTCTGTATCTACACATTACCATTTGCCCCAGTTATTCTGTGGCTCCTGGCATCTGATGCTGTGGATCCCTTTCAAACAGCTTCAAGAGAACTCCCAGCCCCGCCTGCTTCCAGCAAAACAAACACCCCCAAAGTAGTACACACTCTGTATGCTGCAGCCCACGCTGATGTAGCACCGGCAAGGCAACAAGCCGGTGAACCCAGAGGCAACTCTGAAAGCTCTTTGAGAGGTGTAGTAATCACATCAATGTTTGTTGTACTCGGTTTTTCCTGTGCCAAGTCAGGAAGCATTTAAGGAAACATCAAATGCTCCATCAATGCATCAGTGTCAGCATTTGTACCAATAGTTGACACAAAATGACACCAGGAGCCAGACCAATGTGCCGCCATGTCGAAAGTGTCAAGCTCCATGTCCTAATTTAGATCTGGCTGTGATGTAAGAAAGACCCCTGTCCTCCCCTTCGTTGTAATGCTTTTGACCCTCTCAGAAGATGCCAGGGCCTCCTTCTGCAGGTAGAAAGGAGCCATCACACATCCTGTCTCTGCTGGCCCACGCGCATTGTTTTCTCCATGTCCTCACCATCCTTTCCCCTTCTATTTCATTGAACAGTGGCCAAAGGTGCCAGACGTCTTGTCCAGCAAACCGTTTTGTCATCTTCCCCTTTTCAGATCCAAATTTATTTTCTGAATCTGTTGCTTTTAACCCTGACCTCTTATTCAAAGATGGTAATTGAGCCTTAGGTAGCTTTGATAAGCTGCTGTGATAACATGTGTTTTAAAAAATGACAGCCATCTGTGTGTGAATAGGTTGCAAACCAAGGAATAACTTACATTTACAGTGTCGGCATCTTTAATACACCGGGAATTTTTTTGCCATTTCAGTGGGGGCATACCCCCTTTTCTGGCATGGCTGGCAGTGGAAAAGCGGTTAAGACTTGGGCTCTGAATGCAGACAAGTGGGGGTCAGTGCCTACCTCCACCTTGCTACTTGTATTGTACCCTTGGTCCTGTGGTTGAACGTGCCAAGTTTCTTCACCTGGACATTGAAGGTACTAGCAGAACGCCCCTTCTGTGCAT